ACCTCTCCTCTTCTTCCACCCACATCCCCGGTGAGCAAACAACGCACGTCGAGGGAGTCGGTGGGCTGGCATGCGTAACACGTGGCCGAGCCATCGGAGCCTGGTGCGGGAAATAACGGTGCTGAGCGGTTCAGATCCTTTTCTTGGGCCGTAAACAATGCGTCGAACGCGCTCGTTACTCACGCGGTGTTCCCACCAGATGTGAGCCAAACTGCGAAGGCACCGATGGTCGAACGTAACTAGCCTCTTCATGTCCGCCGATCTTATGGGCCAGGTTTCGCAACCGTACAGTAAGGTCGAACGTACCGCTGCATTGTACACTCTACCCTTCAGGGCGAGAGTGATGTCGCGCCGCCGCCAAAGGTGGCGAAGGTTAGCAAAAGCACTTCGAGCTTTCGCTATACGGTTCGTGATCTCGTCTTCGATCCCAAGGGCGCTGATACAACTTCCCAGGTAATTGAATTTCTGAACGACTTCTAGCTGATCCCCACCAAGGGTCAGCGCGGGAGGCGATCCCTGCCAATCTTGGAGGAGCGCTTTGCACTTCGATGGTGCAAAGCAAAGCCCGAAGCGACTGACAGCCAGTGCTAATCTATCTAGCGCGGCTTGGCACGTCTGGGAGCTGTCACAGATGAGGGCAATGTCGTCAGCATACTCCAAGTCAAGAAGTCGTTCCCCTGGGAGTAGCTCCACACCTTCCAAGTCATGTCCTGTAAATGCACACTCCATGACTTCGTCAATAGCGAAGTTGAAGAGGAAAGGTGACAGCGGGCATCCTTGTCTCACACCGCTGGAGATATTAAAGGGTGGCGACAGTTTGCCGTAAGCCCTCACTCTGCCCGTGCTACGCGCATATAATGCTTGGATAATATTTACATATTTCTCGGGCACACCTTTCCTGAGTAGACAATTCCAAAGGGCACATCGATCAACCGAATCGAAGGCACCTCTGATGTCGAGGAACACGACAACGGTGGGCCGCCAATATGTGTGGCGGTGCTCCAACAACTGACGCAAAGTGAAGATGTGGTCAATGCAGCCACGACCACGACGAAACCCGGCTTGCTCTTCACGAATCTGGCTTTCCCGAGCGCCAGTCAGTCTGTGAAGGATTATGGACGCGAGTAATTTGGAGGCGATGGAGATCAGACTGATTCCTCTATGGTTGCCGCATTCCGAGCGCGAGCCGCCTTTGAAGATGGGAACAATAACGGAGCGGCTCCAGTCGGTTGGGACAGTCTCCTGCTCCCACAGTTTCACTAGTAATTCATGCAAAGCATCCACAAGAGCAGGGCCTCCGAATTTGAAGAGGGCTGGAGGAAGATCATCTGGTCCCGCGGCTTTGTCCAACTTCAACAGTCGGACCTCACGTTCGACTTCTGAGCGAGAGGGTGGATCCAAAGGGACAGTCCACGGAGCAGGGCGATCAGTGACCGGCGAATCGGACAATTCTAGCCGATTAAATTGCTTTTCAAAATGCTCAGCCCAACGCTCCAAACGTTTTGACAAATTGTGGATAGGCTGTCCACTCTCATCACAAATTGTTTCACTAACACCAGGTCTCCTGCTGCCCGTTTCCCGTATCAGACGGAATAACTTACGATGGTTGCCAAGGGCAGCGGCCACTTCCGAGAGGTCGGTGAACCTGTTGGAATCTAGAAGAAACCTCCCGGACGGCTCTGAGCACAATGTGACCAGACGGGGGGCTATTAGGCGTGAACTAAAGCAGAGCCTACGTGCTGACAAGGAAGCATGGTGGACAAGTAGGGCTCAAGTAATGGAGGAGGCAGGAGCAGTAGGCAATTACAGCAAGCTCTTCCAGCTAATCCACACACTCTGGTCCCAGAAAACCAGGCGTCACTGAGACAATCAGAGACAGCGCGGGAGCGCTGATACACAATAAGGAGCGTCGTATGGATCGTTGGGCGGAACACTTTGAAGATCAGTTCAGCTGGCCCCCTGCTCCCGGACCTCTTCCTAAGCAGGTGATGAAGGAAGAGCCATGGACGATTAGTTTAGAGCCTCCATCAGAGGCCGAGGTCCGGAACGCGATTACAGCCCTCAATCGTTTCCGTGCCGCTGGCCCGGATTCCCTCCCACCTGCACCATTTAAGGATGGAGGTGAGGCCCTCTGCAAAGCACTGACCTCATTCTAATGTATCTGGAAGGAAAAGTGTGTCCCGGCTAGTTGGAGCGAATCGATTATAGTGGCAATATACAAAAAGGGCAGTCGCACAGACTGTTCTAACCACAGGGGTATTAGCCTAACGCCAGTTGTGACAAAATTATTGGCCTCGATTATCGTTCGTCGCCTCACTGCGGAACGGGAAGCTCGGGTTAGGGAAGAGCAGGCCGGTTTCCGCCCAGGGCACGGCTGTATAGACCATATATTCACTTTGCGGCAGGTACTAGAGCAGCGCCACGCATACCGCAGACGGACAATAGCTGTAATCCTCTATTTCAAGAGTGTGTTCGAATCAGTCGATCGATCGATTCTGTTCAAAATCCTTGCGCGGAAATGTGTTCCCACGAAATATGTGCACATCCTTCGTGCTCTATACTCGAGCACGGTAGGCCGCGTCAAGGTCTGCGGTGTCCTATCGGATAGCTGTTCGACTACAAGTGGTGTTCGTCAGGGTTGTCCGATTTCCCCGTTTTTGTTCAATTTCGTCGTGGATTCTATCATAGAGTGTTCTCTGACGGAATCCAACGATGTAGGCGTTTAAGTACTGCCTGGTGAAAGGTGAGTTGATCTAGATTATGCGGACGATATCGTCTTGCTTTTCGATGATGTTGGGGCGGCACAATCAACCCTGAATAGCCTGTCTAGAGTGGTCCCATTATTTGGTATGCACTTCGCACCTTAGAAGTGCAAAGTGTTGCTGCAGGACCACCAGCCACTTGATGACCCCTTGACGCTTGCTAACGAGGAACTCGAAGTGGTTGATCATTTCACTTATCTTGGCAGCTGCATCAGCAATGATGGGCGCATAGAAACTGACGTCAGCTCACGCATTGCAAAAGCCAGAGCTACCTTCTTGAACCTGCGGCATGTTTGGCGACAGAAGGGCGTTTCCCTTAGTCTGAAAGGTCGGGTATACAAGGCCACAGTGAGGGCCGTTCTGCTCTATGGCAGTGAGACTTGGCCCCTTCGGCCCGAAGATCTGAAGCGCCTTCAAGTCTTTGATCATCGTCGTTTGCGAAGCATTGCTGGCGTCGGACAACACCAGCGAGTCCGCAACGATGATGTGCGTAAGCGAGTACTAGGTGGTGACAATCGTGCTAGCTCCCTAGAACAACAGATAGCACTGAATAAATTGCGTTGGCTCGGGCACGTGCTACGTATGCCTGGTCACCGCTTACCTAGGAGGGCTTTGTTTAGTCTGCCAGGTGTAGGGTGGCGCAAGGCTCGAGGTGGACAGAAGTCGACTTGGCAGCGGGAAATGAAGTCACTGACGACCAAACTGGGTGCCGTTGGCCCGTCTCGCTTTCCGGGCTGGAGTCCATGTGACTCGCTTTGTGCTTGGCTCAAGACTTTACAGGACATGGCTCGCAGTAGACACCAGTGGCGCATCTGTTGCCGTCTCCTAAGTAAATTGCCTGTTTAAAGTGTATTTGGTGCTGAGTTATCTGCGGGGTAATGGCTGATTATGACGCGTGGCAGTGAAAGCCGCAAGGAAGCTGTCTCGTCGATGCCGCCTTATCTTTGCACGATAGCCAGCTGTTTGTGACGGTACGTTATCTACACAAGGTGTAGGCGCCTTGATCCTGAATGTTTGCTTAGGACATTAAGGTTTTCAGGTAAGTCCCCCTTCTCTCCCTCTACTTATTATTTATTTCACAGGTCCTCATGGTTGTATGGCAGCGATGCATCAGTTCAAATGGCTGATGCACTGCTTTTGTTGTTGTTGTTGTTATTGATGATGATGATGATGATAATGATGATGATGATGATGATGATGATGATGATGATGATGATGATGATGATGATGATGATGATGATGATGATGATGATGATGATGATGATGATATCCACGCGAAAGACCGCTAGAGCTCCATTTTGTTCCGAACGAGACAGGGCGGGCGAACTTGGATGCATTATTCTAAATGGGGACGAACGAAAGCCCAGAACAGCTTCACAAAAATATCGACAGTTAAGGCTCCGAAGAAACGGTGTGTTAAGCACAACATTCTTGTAGTCTACTTCCAGTTATTGCCCAAATGCAAAGTCGATGAATGGACGACACCTAGGTCAGCCTGGTTGGAGACAAGGGGAGTTTGACCCTATCAAGAACGCATCTCGGTAAGAATGTTGCTCCTATAGGAAGAACGCAACACATCCTGATCAACTGGAAGCAACCAAAAAGTAGACCAGTCCCAGAACCTACCAGGGCATGATGAATGGCCTCGGAGCACCCACGGGCATATACAATATTTCACAACTCGAGGTCATCATCAAACGATAGCAATGTTATCCCGAGCTCCCCAGGGAAATCGTTTACGTAGATGGAGAACAGGAGCGGCCCAAGAACCGAGCCCTGTGGGACACCACTAAGGACCGCTTGCCTAAATGATAAGTTGCGAACCAGACATACTGTTTTCTTCCCTGCAAGAATGCAGACACCCAGTGAGAGGCGAGGGCAGATACACTGTAAGAGCTCAGCTTCTGTGACAGCCTCAAGTGGAGTACGTGTAAAATGCCTTCGAGAAGTAAGCAAAAAGCACATCCACTAAGTGCATTGGATGACGGGGAATTATGAACCCAAATTTGGGTTGAACCATCTAAGGAATTAATCCCGTTAAATATAAACTGTGCCTCCGTTAAACATCGTCCATCGCACCGCATTTTACAGATAATTTACAAATAAATAAACTACCTGCAAACCTATGTAGTGTAGGATCAAAAGAACGCACCATTGAGCAACAGACTTACTGCAAAATGGTGCATGCTGAGCTCCCACGATTGAAAGACTTGCTTTTGAGAATACATAATCCAGAAATCAAACAAGAAATACCCTGCAGATAAAAATGAAAAGTAATAAGATACCTGTTGACATAGAAACCATGTAGTATGTGTATGGAACTACATGGTTTGCCAGATCATCCATTAGAGATGGGTAATAATAAAAGCTAACAATATAAGGAATAATTATGGCAATACCATAGGATATCCCAAGATCCAACAAGTAAAGCATGGATCCAAGATACAACTAAGTTTCGCCATTTCATAATTTGATTTGGTCCTTTAGACGCGACTTCATACGGAGGAACAAATCCACTCAGAAGACGGTCAAGACTATTGAAAAATCCAATTGAGAGTAAAGTTGCAATGGCTCCAAGTCGCCTGTCCGCGGGAGGCAGCCAAGCATGCCAAGCCATGATGCGTATGGTCGTGGACTACGAGGGCTTCCGAGTCCAGTGTGTACGTAGATCGTAATGGACCTGCCGAGCTGCAACGGAAAGCAAATAGCTCGTAGGTGACTGGATGCGCATATCACAACCACCTAGTAAGAGACCACAACAAACCGAATGTGAAGGTAAAGAGAAGTGGAAGAATCAATGGCCGTCTAGCCGAGATACAACAATCACATTGCCTTGGGGATCACCGCAACGTCACCATCGGACCTGCTACATTATCCCCCTGTTGACAAGCGCTTTCCACAGCGTCTACAGTAGCCCTAGTAGGTCTCGATCTGCTGATGTGAAGGACAAGTGATGAGTGCAGTGTGCTCAGTTCGAGAGGTTTCGCGACAAGCAGTGTGATCACAGGATAGTTAATGATAATGGCAACGATCCAGCTACAGGGACTGATGTCGGGAGCTGACAGGATCGCTGAATACGTGATGCGCGCGGTATGCTAGTTTCCAGAGATTCCGCGACAAGTAGTATGACCACAGGGAAGTGAATGATTGCCTCAAAGGGCAACAATCCAGTTGCAGGGACTATTGTCGGGAACTGGCAGGGTCGCAAAATTTGTAGTCTGTGTCCGGTCGTAGATTCCGTGGGCATCCGAGTCCAGCGCGTGTGTATCAGCTGTACGCCGTAACGGCGCTTCGCAGCCGCGCGACCACTATCACTCGTGCGCGGGATGAATATACCGCGAAGAAGCCCACCAGTATGCGGATTCGAACCGGTGACCGGTGTAAGACGAGCGTGCAGACTATTCAGCCACCGTCCGTAGACCACTCGGCCGTAATAGACCTGGGCAGTTACAACAAAAAGCAAATACCTTGTAGGTGGCTGGATGCTCATAACAAAACCACCTAGCAAGAGACCACAGTAAACCAGGTCAGATCAGGTACAACGGACGACATAGGCTTTCGCCTAACGAGCGTCTTGTTTCTTATGCCGGTTAGTAAAAACAGCCGCCGGTGCCTCAACAGTGGATTGCCTCTTCGTGCCATTGCGAAAGAACGGAGCAAGAATAAGGCAATCCTTGCACTTCATGTGTCAGCAACATAATACATTACATATTCCAGTATAACTACAATATCTCTGAGAAAAGGTTAGACGAACACTCAGCTAAGCCCCTTTTGAAGACTTCTGCAGACTCACATTCCACTAAATCAAAAGAAAGTTTATTCCATATGTTAACCACACGGTTTGTAAAAATTTTTGCCCTGATGTCCAAAGGAACTCTATGTTGTTTGAGCTTCAGGCGATGCTCGCGCAGATGGTTTGACGCAACTCGGATTGATACCACTGAGGCTCTTAATGATCTTAAAAGTCTCAAGCAAATCCCTTATCAATGCAAGCCGTTCCAACGAAAATAATCCTAAGGTATTTATAGGATCTTTGTACGATTACCCTCGTTGACCTTCGATTATCCTGGTCGCAAGTTTCTGAATCTTTTCTATACACACAGCGTCACTGCGGAGATACGGTGCCCAAGCCAGAACACAGTACTCCAGAAGTGGCCTAACAGCTACTTTAGATAACGGCGAGAATAATTCTACTTTAGTGTTACTCAGCGCCCTTCTGAGGCGAAACAACTCATGTGGCGCTTTACTGGCAGCACGGCAACACTGTGCCGAAGGCCTAAAACTGTTCACTATGATGATACCTAGATCGCGGGCTTCATCAGTACACTGCAACCACAGAAATCCCGCGGTAGACTGCACTGCAAACCCGTTACCAATATTGGTCAATGTCTGACATGTATTGGCAATCAGAGGTAAATCCCATTGGCACGAACAATCCACCGCAATGATGAGGTTCTTAGTTAATGTTGCTGGATTTCCCCTGCCGACTGGCTTTAAGTTATCCGCGAGGATATAGCTGCCATCACAATGAGGCTGAACCTTACCGTAGTGCGCTGGTTTGCGTGCTTCAGTGATTTATTGAGCCATGCTGGGTGATGCTTTTTTACACCTTCAGAGCCACTCTACCAGATGGGTCAATGCTTAGAGGACAGACAAACTCAGCCTCCTGGTCCTCCAGGTTGGGAGTTGGAATGAGGTTGGCCCCTTATTCCTTAAAACGGACGCCTTGTAGCCCAACGCCAAACCCGCTGCCTTGCGGTCAGGTTGTTGAACAAAAAGCTTTGGTTGAGAACCCTACTCGTTCTCCTGTCTAGGTCTGGGCAACCTGACAGTATCCCGCCCAAACAATACTACGAAACTTTCGTCAGACAATTTCTTAATGCTCTGGCCAACGCAGAGGATAATCAACGGTATCCTACCTGCTGCATCGAGCAGGGTGGATAGGGGTTTGGATGTTACTTCTCAAGCCTACCCATCTTATTCCCCCTCTTATGCTTTTTCACTCTTACCGTTCCAGCTTCACTTTTATCTCCCCTGTTTTCAACCCCAAATTCTTGCCCCTCCCACCTTGCTTTGACAGGCTTTTACCTTTTACTTTCAATTGGCATGTGAACGCGAAGCGTCATTCCTGCCTTGTCGACAAGCATATGTCCAAGCAAGCGATCCATTCTAGTTCATCGACTTCTATGTGGAGCCGCTGATCATCCTTCAGATAGGTATACCTTAATGTACGCACATTGCTACAGATCGGTCAACAGGCAGCACTTGCCCGAACATTAGAGAAGCACTCGATGGATATTTGCTGCTTATCGGAGACCCGCCTGCAAGATTCGAGCTCAGTGCGCACTTTGCGTTCCGTTTCAGGTGACACCAGCAGCACTTTCCCATTGCGACTATCCGGTAACGATGCAAATTCGAACGCCGGCTAAGCCGATGTTGGTACTGCCCTGAGTCCCCGGGCTGAAGCTGCTCTGGTTGATTGAATTCCAATCAGTAACCGGTTGTGTGCGGTCCGGTTGGCTGGCTCGTTCAAAGCTTCGAAGTCGCGTGTGACAAACAGGTGTCTATTCGTCAACGCTGCCTATGCACCGGCAAACTCTAGTGATGATTCGGTAAAATACGACTTCTATCGCCAAATGAACGAGCTCCTTCGCCAAAGAAGAAGTTCGGACACTGTTGTGTTGGCTGGGGATCTGAACGCTCAAGTTGGAAAATTACCCACTGATGAACTGCATCTGGGCGGCCAACATGGTGTAGGCTCCCGTAACGATAACGGTGAGTGGTTACGTCTTTTGTGTGAAGATGCTCGCTTATTTCTTTCAAACACTAATTTCGAACACAGCACCCGCCGGAGGGTGATTTGGAGCCCACCAGCCTCGAACCACCTATGTACGAAAATCGATCGCACTGCGATAAGTTACCGATGGAGAGGCTGCGTCCAGAACTGTCGCTCGATTTGGAGCACATGTGTGGACATCCACCATGCACTTGTATGTGATAATCTGCGGATACATTTTGGCGGACGCCCAAAACGACATTGTAAGCGCATTGACACCAGCCAACTGGCGAAACCAGCTGTTCTGAATGCCTATCAATGTACGCTGTCATGCGATTTGAGTAGGCGCTCACTGGATGCAACTGAAGCTCACTGGTCTCATATTCACCAGACCTTACTAGCGGCAGGAAAATCCTCATGTGGTAAGTCTAATCGCCAACATGCACATTGGGTCTCTTCGCTGTTTCTGGAACTTATAGATGCTCGCCGGCATATTCCGGCTGGAAGCGAACACAATAAAACTCGCAAAGTGCTCCGGGCAAAACTCCGTGCTAGCCTGAAGAGAGACCGCGAATCCTGGTGGTCTCATCGTGCTTCAGAGATGGAAATGGTCGCTGTCCTTGGTAACGATCGTAAATTAATTTGGTTGATAAGGGAAACGGGCAGCAAAAGTCCCAGTGTTAGTGGAACTAAACGTCACGAGTGGACAGCCAATCCACAACTTGCGAAAAGGCTTGGAACGTTGGGCTAAGTACTTTGAAAGACACTTTAATCGTCCGGAATAGTTAGACCTCGCCGGGCACTGATGATCCAGCTCCGTGGGCTATCCTTTTGGATCCACCTTCTCGCTTAGAAGTCAAACGTAATGTCGCACTGTTGAAGTTAAATAAAGCCGCGGGACCAGATGATCTTCCTCCAGCTCTCTTCAAATTCGGGGGTCTGCTCTTGTGAATGGTTTATATGAGCTACTAGTGAAACCGTGGGAGCAGGAAACTGTCCCAACCGACTGGAGCCGCTCCGTCATGGTCCCAATTTTCAAAGGAGACTCCCAATCGGATGTGGCAAACATAGAGGAATCACTCGGATCTCCATCGCCTCCAAACTGCTTGCCTCCATAATCCTTCACAGACTGACTGGCACTCGTGAAAGCCATATTCGTGAAGAGCAAACCGTGTTTCGTTTTGCGCTGCTCAGATCCGCGCTTTCAGACGATTTTATCCGGACGCGAAGGTAGTTTTTTGTCGTTACCACGTGAAAGTGGATATGTCTAGACGTTGCGGCCGCTTACGCGGGATCTCTGATCCGCGTAGAATGCAATTACGAGGTTGGCTGCATAACCTCATATACACACGAGACGCCTCGGTGTTTGACAGCATACTGAACGCGGTGGGCAGGGCGTCTCCTGAATTGTACGGTTATTTGTGCTCGACGTGGATTCCCCACGCCGACTCTTGGGCGGCGCACAGACTCAGGGATACCATTCTATTTGGTTGCCACACCACCAACAGGGTGGAGAATGAAAACCGACATTTGAAGGAATACCTGTCTGAGAGGTCATCCCTACTCACCCTATTCAATTGCGTGGTTGATAGGGTGAACACACTGGTGCACCGAAGGAACAGCATACTAGGTAGGCGGTGCATGAGCGAAATTGCTGTTCCATCGGAGGTGTCCTCAGTCGCATCAGTATTCTGCAAACTAAGCGACTTTGCGGGGGATGTTTTCATGCAGCATTTCCGTACCTCGACGGTTCTCAGTTGTAGGGCTGATGGGCCTTACTGGTTGGTGAACTGTCCTCGTTCGAGAGTGCGCAGGGTGTACATAACGCGGGGCAGTGAATGCGATTGTGAGTTTCATCGGCAGTGGCGGCTGCCATGTGCTCACATTTGTTATGTGGCGGCTCGGCACCCTCACGCTGCGCGGAACATACTTCATGGATGTCGCTGGATCGCACCCCGGCTACCTGCAGCAGCGTCATCGGAGTCCGTTGCGTCAGCTGAGAGGGTGCAGATTGTGCAACGTAACGCGGTGGATGGGGATGCAGTTTTGAACCGCACCTTGAAACTTCGCAGGACGCAGCATGTCTTAGGGGACATTGGTGCTCAACTGGTTACGTACGGCTCGCAGAACTTCTCAGGTGCCTTGAATTACCTCAAAATGGTTGCCTTGCTGATGTCCAAGGACCCCACTTTCCAGTTGTATGGGCGAACCTCAAGGTGGCCTGTACCCCTTCATTTGGATACCGAGGAGAACGTGCGAATGTTATGCGGCTTTCCTACTGCGGGGACGTCTGCTGCTGGCTCAGCGTCTGCGGTCTGCCCGACGTCGACGGGAGAAGCGGTTGGCCCTTCGCAAGGTACGCAAGTGAATGAGGCGGTGCGTGGGAATGAAACCGAAACACCTGTACCATCCACATCCACAGGTGTGTCCAGGAAACGGAAATCGCCCCTTAAGTGCAGGGTGACAGAGGTCAGCCCGGATAAGAGTGCGCTAAGGGGCAAACGATTCCGTATCCTTCGCACTCGGACATCCAGGGGCTACCGTGTTCCTGTGAGCCAGAGACGGGGAACTCAGGGCTTCCTTTCGAAGGATTTGTGCGGAGTATGTCAGCAAGAGGAGGATGTTGATGGCGATGGAGAATCGGTGCAATGGGTACAGTGCGACGCGTGCTCCCACTGGTACCACGCGTCCTGCGTGTGCTATTCCGGTTCGGAGGAATTTCTGTGCTTCTCGTGCTCGTCCTAAGGTAACCGTAACGTGCCTCATCGCCGTTGCATGGCACACCGCTCAGGTATGTACCTTATATGTGCGCTAACCGTGATTTCATTTCCGTTATAGCATGCTGCCTTTACTTCCCCTTGATATCAACACCTTTGATTTTCAATGGAACAATGCACCGATACGTGTGCAGCACGGAGGAAACGTGCAACGGTAAGTTACTACTGGTATTCCGTTTACGGACGGTCGTTTAGGCACCGTAATGCGGTTGTCATGTATGCAGTGGGTCAATGGCAGGGCATGAGCTATTACGTACCGGTAGGTAGATGGATACATGTGTGTAACACATGCTGACAGGACGTAAAATTTCCTGGAAGCATCCTCGCATTTATTTTCTTCCGTTGCTTGATGCTTGTCCATTATCACGGGAACGCATACACACGGAGAAATGTTATTCCATTACGCGCTGTCATATGTCATCGCAGGTAAGAAATAGGATACATGTGTGATTTTGTGCTGCAGTTGAACCCACCTGTAACCCCGATGGTGTGCTGATCAGTGTGGTACACGGAGCTACCTTGGTCGCTTTGCCAATGTCATATGAACCTGCCATGACAGAATTTCCCAGGTAAGAAATCCGGTTTATGTGCAGTGGTGTTTAACAGTGAAGCCCACATGCACCCCCATACGCTGCGCATTCTCTGGCGCCAATGAGGCACCTGTGACGGATTCAACACCGCAATGTCAACCTGCAGTCGGAGTTGCTCACAGGTAATGAAAACCATACTGCTGTCATGTGTTATTATAATGAAGCCCATACGCACCGCCCAATGATTGTTCTGTCACTGCCGCTACGTACCTGACTCCCACGCATCGCCCACCGCTATGTTCACCTTCAATCGCACTTGTTCGCAGGTAAGGGACGCCATTGTTCTGTAATATTGCTTTACAGTGATGCCCACATGCACCGCCCAATGATTGCCCATTCACTGCCGCCGCCTACCTGACTCCGACGCATCGCCCACCGCCATGTTAACCTTCAATGCCACCTTGTCACAGGTAAGGGACGCCATGCTTCCGTAATGTTTCTACAGTGATGCCCACACGCACCGCCCAATGATTGCCCATTCACTGCCGCCGCCTACCTGACTCCGACGCATCGCCCACCGCCATGTTAACCTTCAATGCCACCTTGTCACAGGTAAGGGACGCCATGCTTCCGTAATGTTTCTACAGTGATGCCCACACGCACCGCCCAATGATTGCCCATTCACTGCCGCCGCCTACCTGACTCCGACGCATCGCCCACCGCCATGTTCCCAGGTGAGCGACGCCATTGTTCTATAATGTTACTTTACAGTTTAGCGCACATGCACCGCCCAATGCTTGTCCATTCACTGCCGCCGCCTACCTGACTCCGACGCATCGCCCACCGCCATGTTAACCTTCAATGCCACCTTGTCACAGGTAAGGGACGCCATGCTTCCGTAATGTTTCTACAGTGATGCCCACACGCACCGCCCAATGATTGCCCATTCACTGCCGCCGCCTACCTGACTCCGACGCATCGCCCACCGCCATGTTCCCAGGTGAGTGACGCCATTGTTCTATAATGTTACTTTACAGTTTAGCGCACATGCACCGCCCAATGCTTGTCCATTCACTGCCGCCGCCTACCTGACTCCGACGCATCGCCCACCGCCATGTTAACCTTCAATGCCACCTTGTCACAGGTAAGGGACGCCATGCTTCCGTAATGTTTCTACAGTGATGCCCACACGCACCGCCCAATGATTGCCCATTCACTGCCGCCGCCTACCTGACTCCGACGCATCGCCCACCGCCATGTTCCCAGGTGAGCGACGCCATTGTTCTATAATGTTACTTTACAGTTTAGCGCACATGCACCGCCCAATGCTTGTCCATTCACTGCCGCCGCCTACCTGACTCCGACGCATCGTCAAACACGAAAATCCCTTCCGGAATCCATGTTGTGCACTACTGAGCAGATTAAATCTATTCAGGTGACATTCCAACGAATCTCTCACCAGCTTTTCAAGCAGTTTGACCACGACGCTAGTCAGACTAACTGGCCTATAATTGGCTGACAGACTGCTGTCGCCATTTTTGAAGATAGGACAGATGACAGCCTCCTTCCATGGACATGCAGCGCAGCGTGCTGCAGAAAATGTTGTCCCGAGTGACTGAGTCAGGCACGCGGACTGAGCCATGAAGAGGGGTCACTCAGGAACACTGCGTGAAATACACGTTCCTGCATCCCGCACTTATATAGGATGTGTTTGTAAACACGTTATGCACTCCTTATGCACTAAACCACTGATTTTCTCTTTTTCCTTCCCTCTCCGTCTGTTTGCCAGTTAAGATGAGAAAACGAAAACCACCTGGTGAGTAGTCCCTTCGCATTATTCATCTTCACACTCATACCATGATGTCGATAAGACCACCCGAAAATGGTCTTAGCCTCGCACTGATGACGAATGAAACGTTCATTTTTTTTATTTATCTATATGTATGGGGTTACAAATGCAGATAGACATGCTTGATACGAATCCGTCGCGTAATAAATGAAACACTGGCTAATTAAAAGTTACGGGCATTCTGAACTTCTCACCATAGACCTCATAATCATCCGCTTTAGCGGGGCAGGTAATGTGCCCAGGGTTAATGTAATTTCTGTTGAGAGCATAACCGTGTTACGAATGATGGCATACAGATGGAATCCCCGGTTATGAGTGTAAGGAGACCTGGAACCTTTGACGGGTACGGCGGACATCCGTCTACTACTCTAAAGTGACCCCCCAGATGTACTTCATGTCCGCTGTCGACAACATGACCCAGGATAGAGCTACAAACCGCCGTAGTGCTACCTCCATGTAGCACAAGGGCTTAGAAACTAATACATAACCATTGAGTCCGTTAGCATGGGAAGGTTATCCTTGTTTCCGGGCACAGTGCACACAAGGGAGACAGGAAGTCAACGCAATCATTTTGGCGGCAGTAATTACGGTTATACAGCATTAGCACGCTCCATGTACAGCGAAACACTGGAGGTCGTAGCTAACGGGTACGTATACATAACTTCATTTTTGACTGCGTTATATAGTAGCAAATGTTGCATATTTTCCCCAATTACGGGGACGTTAGTAAAGCGCGATACAACGTCAAAGGATAGCAACATTTCGCCGTCAATTTCACCTGTAGGTATGCGTTTCAGGAATTGGAAGCTGTTGCGTATACTGTCAGTTGCACGGTGTTGGCGCACCGGTTTCAGTATTTACACAGTTTAATGAACGAAGGTATGCTAAGGTCAGTTAAACATTGCTAACATGGGACGCAGTGTAACGGTTGCGTTGTGAAATTTATGCAAACGGTACATCCTTAGAACGTTTCTGCCACAAGGTTTGAAGATGTCATACAGGGCATCGGAAATATACCCTTCAGTCCGAAGTTCTTGCAGGGTGTTATTGATCTACCTTTCCATTTCTTTCGGGCAGTGCATTTCAGTGCTGCATGAAAAATTCGACCCATCCTTCAGTATACCTGCCAGGTCATTTATGTAGTCTTTTCTTTCTCATACCGAAACCCCAACACCCTTGTCTGGTGCAGGCATCATTAGTTACTCATAACCTTTCCATTACTTAAAAGCATGTAGGTGTTTCCGTGTTACAGGGCCGTGCTTATAGGCGGTATGTTAGCTATATTGCTACCAGCAGTTTACCAAAACACAGTAAATCAAGGTTCCACTTATGGATTAACGCATTCGTGTGCTCGTATAACCTTTCTTATTGTACCTCATATTTAAGCTGATTCGCTCTGCGTCTATGTATGCCATACTTTACGCAAAGTGGCTGTTGTTTGAGATCCCCGGTGTGCCTTCGCTAGACACATATACATGCATATATATATATATATATATATATGTGCCCCCTGATAACGGTGTTGTTGCATTCTTGATGCCTCTTCACGGCAGTTTCGCTAAACCAACTTACGCTTACAATAAGTCTTTTTAAGCCGCTTAACGTTATTCCACGTATTTCGGTTTCCTCGGCATAACTTATCACTCTTATACGGTCATATCACGTAGGTAACATTATTCACGCTTACCTTCGTTAACTCTGTCGCCCATTTGTATCAGTTCTACCTAACTTGTGGCCATATTTCCATATCTCGGCTTTGTTGCCAACAAAGTTACTTGATATGTTTATATACCTTAGAGTTATGCCACTGTATCTGTATGCATGACCGCATTGGCTTTCTTTCATGTTGTAGTTCCAGGTCATTGGCCGCTCCTTCATATCCCCCGTTGTGGCTGCGGTTGATGTGAATGTTGACAACGTGACTACCTGCTAAGTACACACCACCTCGTCCATACCCCCTACAGGATACCGTTGGTCGAGGATGGGGGGAAGAGGTAAACCGTCCGTGTGACCGTGCTAGACACGAAGAGAGGTCACATGCACTCCGTGTACAGCGGTATACCGTCAAGCCAACGACATGTGTGCTCTTCATTTCCGATATACCGGGTGCTTGTGTTCGTCTGTGAAGAAGTGTGGGCCGGTTCCCTTGATGACACGGGGCTACCATCCCCATGCATGCAGGTCTTATTACTTTGGGTTTACACTGCATATGTGGTGAGTGGTGGGGGCTGTGCGTGTTGCCGCGCAAGCCATCCATGGTCCCTCTGCAGCCGCAGGCGTCGTGTGTGTGCACACAGTGACAGGCAAATCAGTAACACGATGCCCCCAACCATGCAGTTATATATATTTATGTATATATATATATATATATATATATATATATATATATATATATATGTGTGTGCCCCATGATAACGGTGATGTTGCATTCTTGATGCATCTTCACCGCAGTGGGGATAAACCAACTTACACTGAAACCACGTCTCTTTAAGCTGCATACATTTCACTCCACTTCACTTGGCGACTTTTGACTATGTTAATGGCTTTCCATCACCTGGACACGTCCATTAGGCTAATTACCCTTATCTTCCGTAAATTTTGTTCCCTTTGTAACATTTTAGAACAGCTTGTGGACATTTTCTCCTTATCGCGGATTCTTTGCTAACCCATTTACCTCAATATGCTAATTCTGCGAAGAGTTATTACGCTGCTTCGGTATACTTTATTGTCTTTATGATATTTCATTTAGACATTTAAAGTGATTACCTGTTGCTTGATATCCACGGTGTGCCTGCGCTTGATGTGCATGTTGCGCATTAGCAAGGAAGCGCGGGCCGGCATAAGGCGGTAAGAGACAGAAACTACGGTACACGTAGTTGTCATTGATGTAGTGATGCATATATAAATGATGGTATACAAAGGTGGCGTGGCGAACCATGAATACTTCAATTGTTGGCTGGACAAAAGAGAGATGAGGTTACATGATGCAACCTCTGCAAACGGGAGCAGCGCAGGCATGCGATATGGTTTCTAATTAGTTAAGAGCCTAGAGACTAAAAAAAAGCAACGCGCAGATAGTCAAATGATTTTAGCGTGCTAACGGGACACTACACAGGTAGCAGAAAATATGGAAAAGCCAGTAAGGAACCTGCACTCCTATTACTTCCATGTTAAAGACAGGTAACTGACAGCTGGGCAGTTATCTAGAAGCGGCTGTGCGCTGACCTGATGACATACAGAACGTCGGCGTAAGAGACCCATAAACGTTGAATGACGAATGAATGAATGACGGAAACCATCCACCACGATGATGGAACGCCAACCATGCAAGTTCGACAAATATCGTCAAAAGGTTGAGCATACGCCGAACGATACATGGAAAACGGCATTCGGTATACATTACATTCTCATCTATCGCATCGGCGCCAACTCCCTGTCACATGTTGGGTTACAAAGCACAATTCCGGCTGACTGCGGACAATTATTTGCAAATGTCATCCGTACACATTGGCTTGTAGGAAGCTCACCCCGTCAATTACGTTATGCAATCCATGTTAGCAAATGACACCGCTACTAATATGCCCATGTCATACGTCATATATCACTCACACGTGTCTCCTCGTATGCGTGATGTCACGTTCTTCTTATAAACCATGTCATGGTATCCATATGCCTGTATTCTCTATCGAGCAACCAGTCTCAGCAAACTCATCACCTGTATACTGTCCCTAGTTATCCACATCAACCAGCCATTGCACTTAATGCGCCTTTCCATTGCAGGTACCTGCTGACGCAGTTGTACAGTCATGGTACCCTACTTGTTCCAAGGATCAATGAACCATTTCTCAGGCTTCCCGAATAGTGGGTATGGAGCCTTGAAACACATCACCCACAAGGTCGGGAATATTTGTGAATGGTTTAAACATCATCCGCCTGCAGTGTGGCCAATACCCTTCGTGACACAGTTCATACACGGAAGTCAACGAAACTGTTCTCAATACCAAAGGTTAGTAAGGTTCCCTGAGCATCCCATTTTTACCTGTGGCGTGCTGACAATCTATCATCCACCGTCAACGTTCATCACAGTAACATTATGTCACGCTTAAGTTTATTTACAACAACTAATTTCCCCGTACTCGTCCCTCCGCATTGCATGTGCACCGCCGTTCAGAAATGATGCCTCCGGTCTGCATGGGCAATTATAATAACATGGACGGAGTAAAGCCGTCCAATGCACTGCATACTTTTCAAACGATTCGTTGATTGTTTGTTTCTTGGAATCAAGCATGATGCATGGTAATACAGAAAGCAGTGCACCTGTTTGTTAGGTATACATGAACAGGCGCCCGGTGTCCTCCAAGTGACCATGACACATACCGAGGTTCCATAACACACAGGCAGCACCATAGCCCAGGGTAGACGGTGACTGATACACTGCGTACACCTATTGCCTGTGGTACCAAATCATGGGATTAACCCCTCCCAAAGAAACACCGTGGTGATTCGCGCCGACTTGCACAATTAACCATGCCGGAGCGTCTCCCCACACGTACAGCAGCGGCCATTTGATTAATCATTGATACATCGTAACTGATTACCATTGGTTTGATATCATTACTTATCTAGCAAAGCCCCAGTGGTATGCACAGTGACACACAATAGCAGACGTTAATTAGCTGCTGAGCACCCTATGACGATCAGATTTCACTATTTCTTGCAACATGCCATTCACGGAGCATTGCATTTGTTACTAAAGCGCATTACTCAATAATGTAAACGCAGTGATGATAGGTCGATTTCGTTACGAAGTGGTAAGCAAACAGGATTACTTTAGAAAGCCATCATACGAACAGGTAAATATTTCCAACCCATCTCACAAGGCATCAGGTATACCAGTGTCCTGCATTATATATACATATATATATATACATATATATATACGTAAATACATATATACACATGTACCCATATATTCCTTTTCCTACGCCATTTCATGCATACCTATTCGTTGAAGGCATACATCATTATATGCAAGTACAAATTGCTTACCCATCTGTGTAGGTATGCATGTATATTCCACCAATGAATACACATGTTCATCATATATATATATATATATACACAAATATATATAGCTGTGTATTTATATGTTTCTACATATATATATAGATCTATACAAACATATGACGACAACATAGAAACTGGCATATACATATATATATATATGTTTATATTTATGCATATACATCTATATATATGTAGGTAGAAGGGGTATTATCAGGAGTACCTTTAAAACTATGTCTGTGTATTATTATGCATATACATATATATATAGGCGCAGGCGTCCTGTGACTGTCCCCATGGACATCACAGTGACAGGCAAATCGGGATACGGACGCCGCCTAATCATATACATATATATATATATACATATGTATATATATATAAATATATAAATATATATATATATATATATATATAGAGAGAGAGAGAGAGAGAGAGAGTTACATGTGTGCCTTCCATATTTATGTATATACATACACACACATATATATATACATTTATATATAAATATATATATATGGGGTTTATTCGTTTGGGTCAAGTAGGATGATTAAGCGCAATCAGTAAATTCGTTGACGGATGTTTACGTGTTTCCCAAGGTTAATGCAAATAAGAATGTGTGTGCATTTGCTAAGTTGCCGGCATACATGTCAAATTGGGTTAAATAAGAACGATTATATATATATATGTATACATATATATATATATATGTATACATATATATATATGTATATATATATACATATATGTATATACGCCTTATCATTTTACCCCTTCTACATGAACGCGGACAAATTAGCAAATGCACACATATTCTTATTTGCATTAACCTTGAAAAAAAAACGTAAACATACGTAAACAAATTTATTTAATACCATTATTCATCCTCATTGACCAAAAAAAATGAAACAAATGGCCCGCATCCTATTTCAATAGTAAACATTTACCAGCTCAATAACACTACAAAAGATGTTAGTAAGCCACTATTCCTTATCTGATTGCTGCACGTCTCTCCCTATGCCATTAAACATGCACACACTGATGCCTTCCTCATTATAGTTCTCCGTTTCTTACTTCTGCAGATACACAACATTAGGTCTCATTCCACGTTATCTTCAAAGCATCAGCAGTAAGTTAAACAATTACTATTTACGCAAATTTGTTCCGTACCATTAAAAAGTACCATTAAATTGCCTCCAAATGTTCCATTTCATATCACCCATGTACATCACTCCTCCAATTAGCATTCCGTGTGATTTTGGTAACCTTTCACTTGATGCAACGTTATAAGTCTTTTCCGTTTCGTATCTACAGACAGTTTTCGTATTTAAGTACGTAACATTTAGAGCGATTTCCGACGCCAAAATAATGCCACAATTCCTAAACGTTATTTCATCCCATTCATATCGGTTGACTTTCCGCCACAATCACGACCTTACTTATTTTAACCCCTTTGACTCAGTATAATGTCATCACATCATAAGTCATCCAGTATTATTAAACGATTCATCTTAATTTATATTACCTATTCTTAGTACTATGAACGCAATTTCTTTCAGCCCACTAATAGATGTACCAGTAGCCACCGAAAAATTTCAAATTTTTCCGCCGATTTCCCATCAGACTTTCCCAAATAAACAGACAAACGATTTCTAAAGAATGACCTTCACATTTGAGAACGGCGCGTTGCGATGGACAAGGTCATTGTTGGTTCATTCGTTGTTCATTGGGTTCATTGAATTGCATAGTGCAGAAGGCGGCCCCGTGTCAGTTCCACCACCACCGGTTTAGAACAGGGGCATGTGTCATCGCGACCAGTTACATAACGGTCGATGATAACCAGGAGGCTGGGATTTTGCGGTAGCCGACAGCACTCAACTGTGCCCTGGAGAAGGAAAAGTAAGGAACACATTTTGAGTAGGAGCATCTAAGGTACCATCAACGTCTATAGCTAGCTACGGTCACATGCGTTTCTATGAGTATTAGGATTGTTTGAATGCGTCATATAGTGCGTGGTCGGGTTCACTCGCGTTCATGGCAGTCGACGATACCCATGCTTTCCGTGTTGTCTTCCTGCAGCGTGTGTAACCCAATTGTTAAGGTTCCGTGGTGACATAAAGCGCTTTCAAACGCCATCGATATCACGTTTTTTTCAAATTAGGGGTCGTGAAATCTTACGCGTTTCGGAATTATAGCGGTAGAGTTGGCTGGGTCTGTATGTAACGGATCCATACACTAAAATGCGCTCACTACCGGCGAAGAGGCTATAGATGCAAGCGGCAAGTTGAGGCGCTACCTTTATTTAAAGCCATGACTGTCATACGGCGCACGGCCGGTGCTACGATGCATTATGCTACAACATCGGACACAGTCATACCTTTCATGTGGGCTAGCTGTTTCTCTATGTGAGCCACAGACGGGCTCCGCCATACGCTCGGTGAAGTCGTTAAATAACACACTGGAACTAAGCAATTATGTGTTTACGCACTTTGGTTTAAGTGCAAACCGTTACTATATGCGGACCACCAGACATGAGATGAGAAGCTTGACGGGAACCCACTGAAAGCTGTATTGGATTTGCTTGATAGCGTCGATCAATGTAATGTTGAGTACGAGGCATCGAAGAAACGGTTTCTATTTCGGTTACCGCGTTACGTAAGGGCAGTTAACATGCCTCAGAGGAAGTGCGGCGGCCTACTAATGAGGCACTGCATGTTGGTAGATGATCGTGGCGCTGGAAGGCTATTTTTCTACGCCTTGCTTCCGAATGGAACAACGAGATCCTTGTTGATCGCTTTGTGCAGCATGCGCGTTGTGTTAACGGCGGATGAATCCGCACATTGGTGGCTGATAAGCGCATGGCGCATATCTATGATTTTCAAGCCATGTACTGTTCCGCGCAAATTGTACTTTGTCTTTTCCATTTACTCCTGGATCGGAACTGTCGTTGCTACTGGTTATGGGCAAAATTAGGACGAACTGCATGCTAATTACGCAGTGGATGCGGAACTTGGTTCACGCTAGGGGTTCATTGCTGTTCGGAAGTATGTTTACAGCCATGCAAGCGAGCAACAACGAGGCGCGCACGTAGTTGGTGACGGCTTGGTAGCCATTCGTTTCCTCGTGCGCAACGTACCGTCTGCGGTCAACTTGTTTTTTCAACTGCTGTACGACAAACCGGGTGGGTGACTGAACTTGGCATGCAAAGCCTGGCATTTCGGAGCGATCAACGTTATTCAAGAGGATATTGCCGTCGCTAACCCTGGCTTTGTGCCCACTCGCAGTAGCAAGTTTTGATGAGCAAGCCAGAACCGTCTGAATACTTATCGAATCCTTGCTCCGATAGCCTTGGGTAGGCTGCTGCTCAGTTTTGTAGGTACACTCGGGAACTGTTACGAGGCCACCACACAAAAGCTAAGCTGGATGCCATTGACTGGTCTTATGTTAGCTGGCAACTGCAATGTAGACGAAGGTACTACACGATGTCACTTCGTGGCGACGCGACATGCAAATGCAACTTCATGCAGCAGTGGCAAATTCCATGTGCTCACATAGCGCATGTGTTGCACGCGGCTGGCCGTCTGACGGACGAGAGACGCCGCAACAACCGTTGGGTTCTACTGCAACAGCAAAGGCCCCGTGTAACCGCATTTGCCTTTCCCCCATCGCCTAACCGCCGCCCCCTTTCACAGTGGCGCCAATAACTCGTAAGCAAAAGTTTTGTGAGCAGCTTTGCGTTCTGGTCGGTTTAGTCAGGTCCAAGTTCGTAGCCTTTGAGATGCAGACTGCAGGGAGAGGACGGAGCACTTGCGGGAGTAGCTACACAACCTTACCAGTGCTCATGGTGACAGTAAGCACCCTGTCTCGGAACAACCATTATACCAACGGAAAGCATCGCTGCATCTTCTACGCACGGATAGCTAGCAGAACAGCCTCCACGTGGTGCTAGCTGAGTGTTCTGAGTAAATCATGTTCCAGCGAATGGTTCCCAGGCAGGGCTCCAGGACGTGATGGGTTTCGCTTGGCAAGCGCTCTTCCGATAGAAAGCAACGCACGTCTGTTTCGTAAAACGTAGAAGTCACGATTAAACTTCACACAATAATCTGCCTCGACGGAGAACCGAACCCCGGTCCCAAGAATTTCCGGCCCGTTGCTCTACTACCGAACTACCGAGGGCTGACGACTGGGGGCGCAATTTAATGCAGGACTTCTTCTTTTAGCGCGACATGTTGCCAATGAGCTCACAGTATCTGTCCTGGTGTTACAGGTTGGCTCACTCATTCGTCACTTCCCAATGGACCAAAGGATTTGTCCTTCTGAGGTCCAAATGGCGATGGTAGATTACAGGTGCATGTTTGTGAGTGGTGTAATGTGAGTAGAAAGTAAAAGTCACGCTTCGACTTCCCACAGTAATCTGCCTCGACGGGGAATCGAACCCCGGTCCCACGAATTTCCGGTCCGTTGCGCTACCACTATGCTACCGAGGGCTGCTTATTAGGTGCGCAAGTTAATGCATGACTTTGGCTTGGTGCGCGGCGTGTTACTAATTGGATCCCAGTGTCATAGCGCAACAAACAGAAGTCATATATTAAATTTCGCACCTAATCGTCAGCCCTCGGTAGCTCAGTGGTAGAGCAGTGGACCGGAAATTCATTGGACCGGGGTTCGGTTCCCCGTCGAGGCAGATTATTGTGTAAAGTTTAATCGTGACTTCTGCTTTCTACGAACATTACACTACCCACGAACATCCACAGGAAATGTCTGTTTGACAACACTGTAATGTGGCGATTGCGATGCGCCACTAAATAAGGCCACTTATGTCTGCCTCTATGAGACCTTACCCACAAACGAAGGTCAGCCAATTCGGAGACATTATTGGCTCACTTCTACTGTCGGCGAATTCACTAAACACCATCACCAATGCAGCACAGCCGTACCAACATCACTCAACATGCATACTAACCCGCATGTTTATACATGAAAGGGTCATGGCATCCGGTTCCGTATTTACCTGCCACCGTGGCCTCCAAAGCGGCAGCTACAAGGCGACTGCGCCCATAGAGGGACCATGGATAGCGTGCGCTGCACCATCCGCCGCTCCAACAACTGGAACCTCTCCACTATAAACCCGAAGTAATAACCATAAAATATAGTATAATGGTATATTACTAAAGCTCTGTTATTGCGGTGCATGCAAAGAACCAGACCATTTTGTACCATAGTCCCATGCTCTTGCAGGAATAAAACGAATATTCAGATTAGTACTTTCTAACGGCCAGAGGGTGGGTTGCCACAGCCTGCTGGTTTTAACAGCATAGCCCCATCGGATATTTCGTTGATATTCGTGCATACTTCCTTGGTCCGTTTCCTTTCGCACTTCCTTGGAATCCAAATCACAGGTTGGCTTTTATGTATGTGTCATTCCAGGGCTGATCACAGCCCTCGAGCCAAACTTGAGGCTGGTGCTTCCAGTTTTAGGGGAGTATTTCTACATACTCAGACGGCCCGAATAATGGCACGCTCAAGGAGGAGAAAAGATAGCGATGAGGGAAAATGGGTAAGAGAAGGTTAAATAGACTTCCAGGAAGGTTACTAAAAGGAATAAATATTTTACAGAAGGTAGACTTAATAGAACCGCGTGACGTCCGAATATGATATATAAAATAATATGGTATTTAAGGTTTCCTATTATTAGGTGACGCTGAAAGTCACAACGCTGAGCCAACAGAGGAAATGGACAAACCCATTTCCCACAGATACTTCTGTAGTTGATCAATGCTTCAACAGTTGGATGGTCCAAAATTTATGGAATGATACTTACTCTATTACTGAACACCCCGCTCAACTGGTCAGGATAGAAACCCGATGGGGCCATAGGAGAAAGCGTCACAGGCCAGCAGATGGAAAATGGATAGAAAACGACTGCGATTAACAGCACAATATATAAGCTTCAGTCCAGAAAAACATTTACTTGGAACCAATTCCTGTAGCATTTTACGTACTTGTTAGAATTTTGCAGTTGCATTAGAAATCTATTTCGATGTTAAATTAATTTGAGGCTGAACATTTATCACAACCTTATATCCTTGCTTGGAAATCACCCAGCTACTTACTACCAACGGCAAGATTAAAGTTGTTCACATTTTTGTAGTCGCAGGTTTGTATGTACCTATTTGATCATGCCTTGTTAGCAGGCCTCGTGCAACACCGAGCATATAAATTTTTGATATTTATTTAACGTTAGTCTAAGGCGTTAGACTTGGTAAAACTTGAGCGCTTGCTAAGATGAAAAAAAGAACTAAGAAATTTGCAGTCGTTTGCCAGTTAATTGTTGATGCAGTGTAGAGACAGTATTTTCTTATGCTAAAAGCGGCGCATTTGTTTCGCTGGCAAATACAGCGTAAAAGAGAAAGGAAAGTGGATATGGGTCTGCGTTATCTCTTCTAATTAGGGAGGTGTACTTAAACTGGTGCGCATTTGCGCAATGTTTTCAGTGTTTATTAGGCGAGACGCGGTTGGACGAAAGCTGCTTTCCTAAGCGTACGCGCTAATAAATAGAAAATGGTGTGGGAACATGACGGTAAAACGCTAAGAAACATTAAAAGCTTGTTACTGATACATAAGATTTTTAACATTGCTTAATTGGCCCTAGTTGA